ATGCTTAAAGAGATATATCTGCAAATAAGTTTATTCTCTATATGCTTATTGTTCTACTCTTTTTGTCACTAATTAATATATTATGGAGAGCTGTCCACTTTAATGGATATGTCATAGAAGGCTGAAGCCATCCAGTGTCTAAAAGATAAATTGTATTCCATTGTTTGGACAAATTAGATTTCATTAAACCAAGCTCCTACTTTGTTTTCAGATATTTTTGTTTTATTCTTTCATAAAAGGATGCAGTAAAAGTCTATACACACAACTTACACAGCTTAATGCACTAGTTTTGAGTATCTGTAGAGTGAACTACTAGAAGTAGAGCTGATGGCCTAAAGGTGGGAAGGAAGGGGAGGGTGAGAGAGGGGAGGTAAGAGATCAACCATAATCAAAGGACACAGATAGTATGGGGCTGGGACATGTGCGGGCAAGAGGGAGAGGGGGAGGTGGCCTGGGAGAGGTCAATGGGGGAAAAAAGAGACATATGTAACATTTTCAACAATAAATAATTTAAAATAAAATAAAATTTTGTTAGCTATTTCGAAGTTCCCTCCAACCAAGTTGCATAATTTAGACTCCCATTAGTAGTGAACATTCTTGCCATAGCAGTATTGTAAACTTCATAATCTTTACCAATCTAATGGCTATAAATCGGAATTCCATTGTTTTATTTTGCATTTATTTGATGATATATGTTAAACAGTTTCTATAGCCTATATAATAAAAGCCTATTATTCTAAGTGTCCAGTCATCTGGTCAACCATTCAACCAATCAGAGCGTAATATGCTAATGACATGCTAAGACTGCTCAACCGTTCACTATGACATCACTGACCACCAGAGGGAAGACTCTCTCTGGTAGGTTAGCTTTCTGCTGGGATCCAGCCAATCAGCACTGAGCAAGACAGGTCAGACATGCTCTGGAGCCCTTCTGTGGTCCCTTCCCAGCCCTGATTGTGAACTGGTGGGATCCTTTGGCTTATCTTGTGTCCTCTCAAAATCCAGGCTGAGACCCACCACCATCCCCCGACACCAACTGCACAAATTTTGTGCACCGGGCCTCTAGTATTATATATATTTCCCCATTACATTGGTTAGCTTGGACTGCTATAATAAAATACCACAGATTGGGTGGCTAGACAACAGGAATTTGTGTCTCACAATTCTGGAGGTTAGGAAGTCTTAGATCAGGATGCTGGCAGATTTGTTTCCCTGGTGTGGGCTCTGTTCCTGGTTTGCAAACAGCTGGCCTCCTGCTATGTCCTCAAGGGCAGAGAGGCAGAGAGCTCTGGCATTACTACTTTTTTGAATAAGGAAACTAATCCCATCATGAGAGTTCCACTCACATGACATTATCTAAATCTAATTACCTCTCTAAGGTCCCATTTCCAAATACTACCACATTGGGGTTAGAACTTCAATATATGAATTTTGAAGTGTCCAACCATTCAATCCATAATAACTTCACATTCATGTCCATCATCCCTATTTTCATTGGGTTGTTCATGTTTTCCTTACTAATTAGACTTCTTCATAAATGAGAAACATCAGGATTTTGGGTGTATTTTAGAAGTACCTCAGGTTTTCTGCTCCAGTCTTTACAAGTAGTGCGATGGGGAAGGGGCACCAGGCTAGCAGGTTACAGGCTTTGACTTTGGATTATTTGTTTTTGTCCTTTACAATTACTTATTCTTTGGTTTTGTTGTTTGTCATTGACTAACATCCTGTTAGTCCTAATTGTAGGACTATTATGTCACAAAACACTTGGAAGTTTACTCATTTTGCCTTACAGAAAACTCCTTGACTATATGAGGGTGGGAAGGAGTGGAAGGAAGATGGGGGTTCTTTCTCTTTCTCTGCATGTTACTCCTTCCTTTCTGCTTCTTCTGCACCCTTTCCCTATGTTTCTGGCTATATACTATAAAAACACAATTCTGGAGAATATGGTTAGATTCATACCATGGGGATTGAGATGGAATTTCAAGTCACTTACCATAATTCAACTATGTATATGTATATATTGAAGAATTCTTATGAAGAGAATAGAATGGAATGTGGTTTTGTATTTTCTCTTCCCAGGGACCCTGCCCAACTTCCATACAGGAAAGTAAATTAAGGATGGGATTAGTTCTAGGAAGCAGATTTTTAGTATAGCTGCACATTTAACCTAAAATTATAGTGTCTTAGATATATGTTAGTGAGAAAGCAGGACTTGGTGATAAGTGAAATCTCCAAATGTCTCAGAAACATACTTCTGCCTTCATTTATTTATCCTTCTGCTGGAACTATACAAGTGGGTTTATTTTACCCTTCTGTTTTTGCCAACATGGTCAGGGAGGCGACATGCAGTGTGGGGGAAACAAAAGCACTGGAGTGGAGTCAGAATGCCCCACATTCACCTGAACCATGGACAAGGCACACAGCTCTGGGGGTCTCAGCTTTTCTTTGTAAGAGAAAAAGAATAACACCAACATCAGCATGGCTGAGGGGCCCTGCCACAGAGCCCAGCCCTATGCATGTGAGCTGTTTGTGCCGTGCTGGACACAGAAAAGGTGCTCTGCAAACGTCTGCCCACTTTTCTTTCTTGTCTTAGACGTACTTACACACTGTGTTGGTTTCCTAGGACTGTCCTCAAACCTGATGGCTTAAAATAGCAGAAATGTATTCATTCACATTTCTGGAGGTCAGAAGTTCAAAATCCAGGTGCCACAAAGGCCACTTGCACTCTCTATTAGGGGTGGCTCTCTCTTTGCTTCATTCAGCTGGTACTGGCTTCGGCCTTTCTGCTATGGCTACATCACTCCAGTCTCTGCCTTGGTCTCTTCGTCTGTCTTTGTCTTATAAGGACATTTGTCATTGGATGTGGGTCCCACAGGGAAAACCCAGGAAGATTTCATTTCAAGGTCTGTAACTTAATTACATCTAGACCCTTTCCATTAATGGCACTTTCACAAGTTCTGGGTCAGGGCATGGACATACTTTTGGGGAGGGTCACCATTCAAGCCACTAGCCATACTTTAAGGATTCCTTTATATATCAAGACTGTGGTGTGATTAGGCATTTTTATAACCACCTCATTGAATCTACCATCATTTTGATATTAATAAATCAGGACATGTAAGAGAAGAGAAGAAAGAACAAAAGCTTGCTTGTTTGTTTTGTGTTTATAAGCAGGCAAAAAGCCTTTTCTCCGGGTCCCCAGTTTAGTAGTGATGACTTGAGCACATCATTCCTATGCTCATCCCTATCTGGTGCTCACATTGCTCACAAATGGTTGGTAAGGAGCCTCCCTGTCATGGGGCCGTTGGTCATACCCTTTCTCTGACCCCATCTTTGATGTCTCCACGTTGGCTCTCTGAATAGGGCTCCTGTAGCTTGGCTGTTTGAGATCCAGCTCTAGGCTTCCCTCTGGTTAGATTCTTGTTTGCTCCCTTGGTTCCCCCTCTCACTCATCCTGCTATGTTGCTCCCTCAAGAATCCAATTTAAGCTTATAAAGGTCATCTTGAAACCAATCTGTGTGCTGGAATGCAGTTGATAGAAAGTAGGACCAGTTAAACCTGTACCATGATTTTAGGCTGATTGAAGGAGTGTCTGGGGGCAAGACCTCTACCCAACAGCAGAATCCTGGCTTTTGGCAATATGGTTCAGCTACAACAGTGGTGCCATTTACTGAGCACTTAGGTCTCCTCATGCTTCCTCACAGTTATCCTCCAAAGTGATCTTAGCTCCAGCTCTCATTCCATGTGGTGGGAAGGAATTTCACATAAAGGGGAAGATAATCCCTGGACCTTCTCACTGCTCAGGGTACTGAGGGACAGAGGAAGAGTACAAGTGTGACAGGTCTTTGAGATCTTAGGCCAAACAAAGCTGCCAAAAACCAACATCTTAAAAAACAAAAAAGGCTAAGGTAGGTGGGCATGCGGAGATATTTCCCACTTTACATGGAAGCCTGAGGGTCACTGAAAAACCCACCTTCTAAGGAAAGTCACAGTGAACTCACTGAAAGGAAGGGCATTTCAAGAGAAGGATCCAGAAGCACAAGAGCACTGTCTGCCGGGGAGACAGCAGGGAGTGAGTGCTGGAGCTCCAGGCACTGGGAGCTAGTTAGACTTAAATCTCAACTCTGCTGAAGTGACATGTCTGGCTGGGGCAAGTTGCACATCTCTGACCTCAGCTGGGGAGCCTCACCACTGAAAGGTGGGAGTGGTGGTGACCAAAGCTCTGAGGAGTGGCAGTTACACGTGTCACTGCACTGAGTGGGCATGCGGTCCCACCTCTGTGGCTTTCTCATTGCTCCCACCCCCACCCGCACCCCCGTCATCCAGCCAGCCTCCCCCAATCTTATGTTAACTGCTTAGAGCCTTCCTTCTGCTAGGTCCAGGCCATTTGTGTGGACCTGGGTGCTTTTCTCTTTGTCCTCAGGGCCCAGCACAGTGCTGGTGCCCCGCTGATGCTCCGAGCACACATGCACAGCACAGGAAGACTGCACCCTCCTTAGCACCAGCGTGCTGGGCCTGGAAGGTATTAGAAATGGCAAGTAAATGGGAATATAGAATCACCCTTTGGATAGGACTTTAAAACTTTCTGACATTTACCACCTGGGATTCACCATGGATGCAAGAGACTGTCCTAATGGTGCATACAAATAGGCATTTAGTGCCAAACTCTCTGCTGTGCACATGGTTGACCTGATCTAAATCTCCTTATGGCCTGACGGAGGTTGAGGGGAACTTTTGAGGGGAGAGCCTCAGTGAGAGGATATGGCGCCAAACTGAGCTTTCCCAGGTCAGGGCACCCAAAGCAAGGACTGCATTATGATTTTCCTGAGCCGCGAGCACTTGTGCTTTGGTGTGTTCCTTCCTCCATAAAAATATTTTAAAATATATTTTATGAGTGCGCTGGTATAAAGACAATAGGCAAACCTTTCAGGTTACCCACCGCCTTTTAGGGCAAAGCAGGAACCTGTGCCCTGGTCCCTAACCAGCCTCTGTCTCCGCAGGTCCCTCAGCGGATGGCAGCAGAGGAGGACGCCTCCGAGGAAGGCGGCGTCCCAGGAGTGTGGGGCGCCTGGGGCCCCTGGTCCGCCTGCTCACGCAGCTGCAGTGGCGGCGTGAAGGAGCAGACACGGCCCTGCCTGCTGGGACCCCACCGCGCGCTCGGCTCCAGGCCCCAAACCCCCGCGCACGCCTTCGCGGGCCACGTGGTGTCGGCTGTGCGCACTTCAGTGCCACTGCACCGGAGTCCGGAAGAGTCTCGCTCCCCCGCAGGCTTCAACGCCAGCCGCCAGGGTACAGTGCTCCGGGGCAGCCGGCACTCGCAAGCGCGGGTGCGAGAACCCACCGCGGAGAGAAGGTACAGGCCCTCTAGTTCCTGCTGCCCTGGACCGCCCAGGCCCTCTCTCTTCCCTGCCCGCCTATCGTGCTGCACGCGGCTATGCAGCACAGATTGCTTGGTTAATGCATTGCTTCTGCGGAGTGGGAAGGAATTCTTGGCTTCACACATCTCCTTTCATCCTTTGATTTATTTTGAAGCTTTTTAAAGCTTTCAGGCCACTCCCACCGCACTCTGTGGTTCTGAATAGTCTTCAAAGTGAAGCTAATTCTCAGAAGCCTTTCGGCATCAACCTTAGGGAGGCTCTGTGGAGGGTAAAAGAGGGAGTGGGCACTGGAAGACCTCGCTCCAGTACAGTTGGCCTGCATGGGGAGGAAAGGGAGACCCTGGCCCAGGCTGTGTGGATTTGAGCTGAGGACAAGGTGCTTTTAAACCAAGGTGCCTTTTAAGTTCATATGAGTTTCAAATCCTTAGACATGTTGAATGTCTGGAGTGTTATCTGCTCTCAGGTTATAGGTTTCAGGATTCTATGAATTTTTCTAGAAAGTTTATCCAGAGTATTTTGAGTGAACACACAGCTTTGAGGCTGTGTCTAATTGAGGACCTAGATGTTGTCTAGAAACTTAATAAAATATAAAGTCTAGATACGGTAAAGTCTAAATAGTTGTATAGCCCTAAGAAGCTTCCCTGGGTAGGCCAGCATAAATATGCCAAACTAGGCAGTGCCCATGGCAAAGGTAGGAGTATAGGAGCTGAGAAGAGCTTGTCAGTGAATTGAAAAAGAAAAAAAAAAAAAATATATATATATATATATATATATATATATATATATATACACACACACACACACACACAGATTATAGAATTCATTCATCAGTATTTGTTGGGTGCCCTAGGTCAGTGGTCGACAAACTCATTAGTCGACAGAGCCAAATATCAATAGTACAACAATTGAAATTTCTTTTGAGAGCCAATTTTTTTAAACTTAAACTTCTTCTAATGCCACTTCTTCAAAATAGACTTGCCCAGGCCGTGATATTTTGTGGAAGAGCCACACTCAAGGGGCCAGATAGCCGCATATAGCTCGCGAGCTGCAGTTTGTCCACCACGGCCCTAGGTGCATGATAGAATCTGAGAGGATATTCATGCAAAAGCATTAACAACAACAAACAAATATTTACAGGGAAAGTAAAAAGTGTAAGATAATCTCTGTGCTTAAGAAATGTACAAATTAGTGGTCAAGCCAAGTTAATGCCCATCCCAGGCAGGGCCTGAGCCTGTTAGGTGGGTAGTCTAGCCTCTCTTATCAGTTGCAGTTCAAAGTTTAGCACGGATGACCACACTTTCCCACTGTGGCTAGATGTTTCTGAGAGTTCTTCTCAGCCCAGTGCTGTAGGCTGTCCCTGCCACTGACTGGATGTGGAGAGGAGACACAACCCATCAAGCCTCCCTGCCACATGCTATTGACCTGGTCAAGTGGGAACCATTTCACAGAGAACATGCTTTAGCTGATTTCTGAGGAATAAACCACATTTGGGCTGAGGGAAGAGAGAAGGGGAGAGCTGTGTCGTGCCAATACAGCCAACGGTGACCCTGAGTGGAGACAGCTGAAAGTCTTAGAAAAGACAGACAAGAGAATAAAAGCTGTGTCTCAGTGGGATGCTGCTTCTCTGAGAGACAGAGAGTGCATCCACAAGCTGTGTCTTTATTTTATAGCAGATGCCACGAGGCAAAGTAAGGGCATGATGAAGATGTTTACAACATTCTCGTGGGTTTCAATCCTACTCAACAACATGCATCTGAACTCTGTCAAGCCCACACACTTAGGCACGTGTTCAGACCATAGGTTCAAGCCCATACCCATAGCTGTTAGCTATAATTGTGTTGGTAGGGCCCTGCCCTCCAAGATGGGACCTGCATGTGGCAATGAGAGGACTGTGCCCTCTCATCAGTGCAAGGCTTGAACCTGTCCAAACACTGTAACCCTGCCCCACAGAGAGCTGAGAGTTTCAAGGCTTGGCATGGCATGTCATTGGGAGAATAAAGAGAGGCTAGGAAAGGATGCTGCCTTCTCTCTTCCTGTGTAGAAACCCAAAGACCCTCCAACATCACTTGACACTCATAGGGTCTGCTACTACTGAAGTCTGAGTGCTTATCATGTGTTAGCTCCTTTCATTCCAGCCACATCCCATAGTAACATAGCTCTCCAGTCCCTTATGTGAAACTAGAAGTCTGGTACACAAAAATTTATGCACTCGGTGGGTGGGGGGGGGGGTGTGTCCATCAGCACAGCCTGCACCCTTTTGCAGTCCTGGACCCCTGGGGGGGATGTCCACCTGCCGGATTAGGCCAGATCCCCAGGGGTATGAGAGCTGAGAAGAGCTTGTATAGGAGTATAGGAGCTGGGGATCAGGGATCAGGCCTAAGTTGGGAATCAGCCATCCCTCTGGCAGCCTGGGAACCCTCAGGGGATATCCACCTGCCAGCTTAGGGCACCTGCCTGCGGGGAACAGGTGGAAGTTGCAGTTGGACATCTTTAGCACTGCAGAGGAGGTGAGAGAAGCTCCCGCCACAGCCACTGCACTCACAGCCATCCACCCAGCTTGTGACTGAGCAGAATTCCCCGTTTGGGAGGGAAATGACCACCAGGGGGCAGCTCCTGCATGAGCGTCTGCTCCCTGGTGGTCAGTGCATGTCATAGCAACCAGTTGTTCCCAATTGTTCACTGTTAGGGTCAATTTGCATATTACCCTTTTATTATATAGGACTAGAAGTCCGGTGCACAAAATTTGTGCATGGGGTGGGGGTTCCCTCAGCCCAGCCTGTACCCTCTCCAATCTGGAGATGTCCAACAGTATCCTGGTAGGATAGGGCCTAAATGGGCAGTCGGACATCCCTCTCACAATTCAGGATTGCTGGATCCCAACTGCTCGCCTGCATGCCTTCCTAATTGCCCCTAACCGCTTCTGCCTGCCAGCCTAATCACCCCTAACTACTCCCATGCCAGCCTGATTGATGCCTAACTGCTCCCCTGCCAGTCTTATTGCCCTCCCTTGCTTGCCTGGTCACCCCTAACTGCCCTCCCCTGCAGGCCTGGTTTTCCCCAACTGCTCTCCCCTGCAGGCCTGGGTCCCTCTAGCTGCCCTTCCTTACAGGCCCAGTCACCCCCAACTTCCCTCCTCTGCCTGCCTAGTCACCCTTAACTTCCCTCCCCTACAGGCTTGATCACCCCCAACTGCCCTCCCTTGCAGGCCTGTTCCCTCCCAACTGCCCTCTCCTGCTGGCCTGATTGCCCACAACTGCCCGCCCCCCCCTGCTGGCCTGATCCCTTCCAACTGCCCTCCCCTGCTGGCCATCTTGTGTCCACATGGGGACATCCATTTTGTGTGTTGGAGTGATGGTCCATTTGGATATTACTCTTTTATCAGATAGGATAGAGGCCTGCTGCATGGATGGGGGCCAGATGGTTTGCCCTTAAGGGTGTCCTGGATCAGGGTGGGGGTTCCCTTGGGATGTGGGGCAGCCTGAGCGAGAGGCCTGTGGTGGTTTGCAGGCCAGCCCCTCCCCCCCACCCAAATGGAGGCCCTGGTATATGGGATTTATGTATCTTTTATAATTGAAACTTTGTAGTCTTGAGCGGAGGCCTGGGCCAGCCAGTTTGTGCAGGAAGCTTGGCTTCCTCCATTGTTGGGAAACCCAAACCTCCTTCTCGCTCAGTGGCCACAGCCATTTTTTGTTGGGTTAATTTGCATACTTCCTCCTGATTGGCTGGTGGGTGTGTCTGGTGGGTGTAGTAGAGGTACGGTCAATTTGCATTTTATTCTTTTATTAGATAGATACTTATGATCAGTGCATTTTAGAATTCAGAACTGTTATGATTTTAGAAAGGTAGTTCAGGGCATATTTCACACTTTAATGACATTCCTTCTCTGGTGTGGGCAGCATCCCATAATTAAACACATTTTTACTTCTGCAGTGAAACATATGGATGTTCACATCACATAGGGTAAAAGAGACCATGTCTGTTAAGGTCAGGTTGACTGTCTCAATGAGTTTTGACATCAAACTGATAAAAACATTAAAAGAAAAAGAAAGACAAAAACTCAGTTTTCAAAACTCTTGCTTTTAGGATTGCAGATTTATAATAGCTGAGGTTTGTTGAATGCCTGTCCTATGCCAGGCACTGTTCCTATTGCTTTACACTGACAACCCTATGAAATGGCTGCTAATATCCTTAGATTTTAGAGGTGAGGAAATGGAGGCCCAGAGAAGTGAGGTAACTTATCCAAGGCCTCACAGCTAGTATGCAAAGAGTTTGGATTCAAACCCAGGGACCTGATGAAGTAGATGTTTCACATAAGGAATCTATCAGGACCTGATGAAGTAGATGTTTCACATAAGGAATCTGAGATGCTAAGATGTTAAAAGACCACTCAGAGTCCTAAATAAAGCCACAGAAAAGCTGAGAGTTGAAGGTGCTGCTGACTCCCAGGTCCCTAAAGTACTCAGGAACTTCTCTTCAAGCCATTGTGTTTGAGAACCTAGAAAAGCTGCCCAGCGAACAGGCTTCAGTTGGCTGCTGGCCTGGGCTGCTGGCTCTCTGGCCCATGCATTTTGGCAGCAGGAAAGTTTTCTCTTCTAACTTATTGACAAGGGGCCAGTTACTGTTTACTATGAAGTTCCTACAAGTTTTTATCATGCTCTTTTAATTTGACAGTTTCAGATGAAATAATCCAAACATATGCCTAGGAGGCCTGTGCTGCTGAAAACTGTCACGCTCTTCCCGGCTGATGAAATAGCATTTGCTTATATTTATCAGTAATTAGGAACTTTCATAGTATATATGACCCTAGAAGAAATGTCAGTGTGTTCTCTGGATGGCTATCTGCCTCATTCTCTGTTTCAGGTTTGAGGTTTGAGATGAAGGCTGTTAGGGCTTAGATGTTTAAGAAACTGTTAGATTGTTATGCTAGGCAACTGAAAACTTAATTAGAGCCAGATAACAAATAAAACAAAACTAT